TCCTCGCTCCCTGCCCCCGGCACCAGCCCCATCATCCCTTGCCATGGGGTTAAAACCATCCAGATGGGTCTGTGGGTGCATGGCATGGCTCAGTGCATACCAACAGCTCCAGCACCTACCTGGAAAGCTTCGGGCCGGAGACCAGCACTGGGGATCCTGTTGAGGCGGGCATCCAGCCTGACGATGCTGCGGGGCAGCTCGGGAAGAGCTGTCAGCCTGTTCTCAGGCAGGATGAGCTCCTGCAGGCTGGGGAGGAGACGGAAAGCATCCACGTCTGCCCAGGAGATGGAATTGCTCGTCAGGTCTATTCGCTTCAGTTTCTCTGATGGGAGAGGGAGGGAGGGGGAGCACAGGTCACACATCATCACCTGTCCCTGCAAGGCCACCCCAGGGCCTGGCCTTTGCCTTGCCCCAACATACTCAGCCCCATGAAATCGCCAGCCCGGATGGCACCGATGCGGTTGAAGCGGGCGTACAGGTAGGTGGTGTCGGGCGGCAGAGGTGGGATGTGCTCCAGGTCGGTGTCATCGCAGTACACGGAGGTTCTGATGCAGAGGCAGCGCAAGCAGCTGGGGAGGCCTGGGGGCAGAGAGGCAGCACTGGGCACGGCACAGCACAGCACCTCACTGCTCAGCACAGCACAGCATGGCACAGCACAGCACCTCACGGCTCAGCACAGCACAGCATGGCACAGCACAGCACCTCACTGCTCAGCACGGCACAGCATGGCACAGCACAGCACCTCACGGCTCAGCACGGCACAGCATGGCACAGCACAGCACCTCACTGCTCAGCACGGCACAGCATGGCTTGACATGGCTGAGCATGACACAGCTGGGCTGCTCCATCTCCCTTGAGCATCCCAACCAGCAGAAGAAGGGTCAGGAAGCACTAGCCTGAGGTCTGCTAATAAATGAATCTGCTCAGGATCAGGGTAGCTCCTATGGGAGAAGGGTAGATGCAAGGTTCCCGAGCACAGCAGAGTTGCACATGAAGCCCATTTGGACGCATTATTTTTTCTCACAGAAAAAATGTGGCAAAAGAAAGCAAAAGAAAATAGTTTTGCATCGAGCAAAACACTTTACTCCACTGTGCAAGCAAGGTGGTCCCAGCAAAGCTGGGCAGGGGCAGCAGGAGAGGCAAAGCTGGGTGCCTCCCATGCAGGCTTCCTCTCCCCCAGGGCCACCAGGCTCTATATCCATTAATGGGAGAGTTCAAAGCAGAAAGGCAACAATTTCCCTCTGCCTCCTCCTTAATTTGTCCCAGTCCGGAATCACAGAAAATGAATAAAGATATTTATCCCTCACTACAGGATTTTAATTGTCGCTAATCTAATTGCTACTCTGTCCAACTCTCACAATGCCTGTGCTCATTAAGATGTTGCTGGTGTTTGCTGGAGCTCATTTCTCAGAAATGTCTTGCTGCAGCACTCCTGCCTGCTGTGTGATAAGGCAAACCCCAGCACCCCTCCTCTTCTTGCTGCATGGGCAGAGCAAATAACTGCTGCTGTCTGCTGTTGGAAAAGAGTTTGCTCTCTTTCTTGCAGAGCACAATCCATGCCTACCCTGGGTCGTATGGCTGCAGTGGATGGAAACCCTGTCAGTCTGTGCTCACCCTGCGCAGTGTTGGGCCCCAGTGGTGCTGGGCGGGTGGGATTGGTGGTGGCCAGAGGCTGCAACTTGGGTGTTGGAGCTGCTGTGCCCAGCTCTGGCAGAGTCCCGCGGTCCTTGGGGCGAGGAGCCAGAGTCCCAACCTCGATCTGCAAAACAGATGGGGCATGAAGGCTGAGCAAGTTCTCCCACTCCCCTTTGGGGTACTGGATAGCTCTCATAGGAAAGCCAGCTGCTCCTTCAGCAGCTTTCCTGGCCCTTCAGAATCTACCCTCTACTACCCAGAGAGATGCAGACACTTTTTCCTTGTCTTCGCATGGTTCATCCTATAGCAATACTCAGCCCAGGCAGGACACAAGGAAGCAGGAGAAATTTGGGATTGGGTAAAGCCTTCCCAACAGCAGAACAAGTGGAAGAACCACCAATGCTCATAGGCTTGTGCAAGGGGCCGAGTTCGTTCTCCAGCCATGGCCCACAAGAACCAGCTGTGGTCCATTTCTCGGGGCATCCCCTGCCTCCTTCCCCAGGTGAGCCCTGCCCTACATGCCCTCCTGTCCCCCTCACCTTGGGAGCCAGGTCACCATAGTCATAGAGCTCCTCATAGTTGTTCAGGTCCATGATGTCCCCATAGCTGTCCAGAGTCATGTCATAGTTCTCCAGATCCAGGTTTTCATAAAGCACAAGGTCAGGTTTTGGCTTCTCCACCTTCTTCCTTTCCTTCTTGGCTGGGACAGCCCAGGTTGCTCCCAAACACAGGCTGGCGATGCCCACCCAGGCCAGAGTCTGCATCCTGTGCCCTAAAGCCATCTACCCTAAGACAGCTGCAAAGCGGTGAAAGCAAAGAGAAGGGCAGGAAGGCAGGATGAGCACGCTGGCCTCACTCTGCAGCCCTGCCAGGGACTGCAGTGGGGGATGAGCTTTTATTTTCTTCTCAGCCCATTTCACGCCTGGCTGCACGGCTGTGCAGGAGAGGCCCCAAGCAGCTGGGCTGCCCTCACTTTCCCAGCCCTGAGGAGGTGATGAGGGGCTCGGAGCACCACCCACTCCCAGCCAAGCAAGCAGAGCAGTCTGGCCCCAGCAGCCCCCCAATACAACTCTCCCATACAAACAACCCAGAGTGCATCTGGTTTGAGAATGCTGCTCCTAATTTCCACTTTTCCTGCAGATCAAACCATTACAAGAGCAATAAAATCCATTAGCCTCCTGTGTGCAACATCAACACCCAGTTCACCCAGACCCACCGCTCACCCCAACCCTACATGGAGCCACTGGGCTCAGTGCTGAAGGAGCAGAAAGAAAGAAGACAGCATGCACATACCCCCTTTCCCCTCCTTGGCACAGAACTCCACTCCTGTGGGCTGTTGCTGGCCTGGAAAGTGCTGCTGGGTTTTTAATACCTGGAGAGGATGGGTGGAAGAACCTGGCGCAGTTCCCGCTGGGGGGAGAGGTAAGACGTGGCCAATCAGACTGGCAGCCTCCAGCTGTCCCCAGCATTCCACTGCGACCTTGCTTTGTTTCCACGGACAAGCCAGAGCCGTGGTGGCTTTCCTCCAACTGCCTGGGTTTGTGTTGGGGCTGTGATGGATGAGATGGAATGGGATCAGGACCGTACTCTACTCCCTACACTCCGTGTCCCCAAGGATGATGGAGACACGCAGTTCTTTTCAAAGAGGGCATGGTAGGCTGCCCCAACAGCCCAGATCCTACCAAGGCAAGGAGCAATTTCTACATGTGGCTGTTTCATGGATGCAGGATTGGCAGAGCATCAGGTGCAGCCCCAGCTGCTGAGTGGGGTTTCCATCAAGGTGCAGTGAGCACCCCAGCCTTGGGGAGGGTGTGCGGGGACTCCTGCTCCCCAGCCTTTGGGCGTCCTCGCTCAGCACATGCCCAGAAGCAGCCAAGTACCCTGTGACATTCGGCTCATCTGCCCCCCTCACTTTTCCCCTCTGCTCAGTCCCTCTGTGCAGTGCTGCTTTGGAAACTTGGAGCGGTCTGTGGAGAGGGAGCAGGCACAGACTGGGGGCAGCACCACTCTCACCATCAGAGTGGGGTGGGAGAAGTTCCCCTCTTCCCCTCCATGCACCCACGTGTGCAGTAGAGCTGCTGGCTCCCTGCCACCTGCGGCTCCTAGCCCTGCTGCATCCTCTGAGTGTTGGGGATGCGTCCTACAGGGCTAGGACACCTCAAGATGGGCTGGGTGTGCACACCAGCCCCATCGGCTCCATCAATACTGGGCAGCACGGTGCACATGCAGCCACCCACCACTGTGAAAACGTTCCTCTCTCTTGCACACAGATCGCAGCCCACACGCTCACCCACCCGAGACGTCATGCCCATCTGCCACTTCTTTCTGACAGGCAAGGACACCCTCGCAGCGGGGACCATCCTTGTCCACGCACCCACAGGCCCAGCACACCCAGCTGTGTGGTGTGGCTGAGCTGTCCCACACACGTCCCATGTCCCACGCACGTTCCCCTCTTGCCAACGCAGCCCCGGCCCCCTCGGGACACAGGGGAGCAAAGGGCGGCCGCTAATCCCCATTAAGCCCCTCATTAGGCGGCTCAGCAGCCACAGTGATGGAGACGACATGGCAGCTCGGGGGCACCACGGCTCAGCCCCCCTTGTTTCTTCAGTGTTGGGTTCCTCGTCTGGAGTGGCAGCCACGTCGAAGCACGGGGTTCATGTGCCCATCACAAAGCACAGATTTTATTCTACAGCAGAAAAACAGGAGAGCTAGCTGCCTGCTCTGCATGGCGCACGCACACACCTGTGTGCCCCATGCCAGAGCCCACACGTTCCCTCCAGACCCACATCCACCCTCCCTCTCTGCTCATGATTCGCGTGGGGAGAGCAGCAGCAAAAAGAGATTTTGAACCTGCAGTGATGGGCAGAAGATAAATTGCTGCCCACACCAATTCTGCTTGTGTGAAAGCATGCATGCAACCCGCACAACCACAGCGCTGGGGGTCCAGGCTTATTGCAGTGTGTCAGAAATGCTTTTCCTACGTGTCCCAGAGTCCACCTGTGCCAACCGGAGGGGCAAACTCACCCCAAAGGCATTTGTCTGGCTTTCCTGGGAGCACCAAAGTGAGGTGGGGCACTTCAGCCCCAGTTTGAGACAACCCACCCCAATGCAGTGCATGCAGCCATGCTGGGACAACAACACCCATCATCTGCATCCACAACCCTGGGAGCTGCAGTCAAAGTTGGGCATTCCTAATTAGCAGAACTGTTCACTAGGCCAGGCCCATGCTCCAGAAACCTGATCACCACAGGTAGAGGAGAGCCCTGGGTGAGCAACAGACAAGCTCCAGCTTTTGGGAGGGCTGCCTTGTGCTCCCAAACGGAGCTGCTCCCATGCAACAGAGAAGATGCAGAGACAACCACGGCTCCAGGTCCCTTGTGAATCTCTTTATTTTCACTGCTGCAGAGAGTAGGAGTGAAAATACCATTAAGTTGAAATCAGTTGAGAACTACATATGTCTCTAGATATATCTGTACAGTCTACCAGTATATATACACATTATATATAAATATATACATAGGGTCTCCGGGTCTAAGGTTGAAACCTGTCAAACCCAACAAAGCCCATTGGAAGAAGACTTGGAGAGACTCATATTATTTTAAAAATCCTGAATATCATGGGAGTTTGCTGATCCTTCCTGTAGGAAGCATGCCCATCCCTTCCTGGGGGTGGGACACAGTGCCTGTCCATGCCCACCCCAGAGAAGGGTCACTTTGGGGGATGAATACCAAGGCTGGTTTCTTTGGTTTATTGCTTTATATTTGTTCTGATTGGATTTTTTTCTCCTCAAATGTAAGTCCTGAGGATCAGGAAGGAAAAAAAAAAAAGAGTAATCCCCTCTAAACCCGGACACCCTATATATGCAGGCACAGCTATCCAAGAGGGAAGTGATACATGTGGAAATGGGGAGAAGAGGGGATAAAAAACAGCTTTTCCAAAAGAGTAATTTTCCCTTTTCTTTTCCTCTCCTTAAAAATAATAATAATAATAATAAAAAATCAAAAACCACAAGGCAAAACCAGACGTGTGTTCGGTCCAAGAAAGCGACAGAGTGGAACCTGCAGGAGGTGGGGGTGCAGAGAGGAGGGGAGGGCAGGGCGGGGGGTGGCACGGAGGTCACCCAGCCAGCAAAGCCCAGATGTTCTTCACGTCAGCATCTCAGCACGGGGGCGGCAGGATGCGGGGGGGGGGGGAGCGGGAGGGGGCTCTGAAATCGGGGCAAGGGCGCAGAACGCGCGGAGTGTATTGCAACCCCACAGGCAGCAGCAGGGGAAGGACCACCCCCCCCCCCCCCCCTCCACCATCTCCTGCCCAATCGCCCTCAGCCACGCCGCCCCGAGAGCAAGGCTGCGGAGCTGCGGGAGGACGGCGTCCCGGCCCCGGGCCGTGGCTGCGGCCACGAGGTGTCGTTGCCGGCTCTGCCCTGCGGTCCCAGCCGCGCGCCCCGCGCACCGAACCGGGCGGCGGCCGCGGGACCTCGGGGGAACGCCCCGGGATCGGGCTGGGACCCGCAGCGCCGCTCCGCCGCCGTCGGTTGGATGTGACCGCAGAACTCGCTTGGATCGATGGGAGGCGGTGCGGGGACGGAGGGCTGCGCTTCCCAAAGCCGGGAGTCAGCCTCAGCGCGTGCTGCAGCCCCGAGCACAGGGATGCAGCTGTCCCCAGATAGGCCGGTCTCGGCTTTCGTGGCTGTTTGGGTTTGGTGTTTGTGCAGAATACTGCTGCTCTGAGCTGAAATAGCTCCGTCACAGGGCTGTGTGATTGCTGTCCTGCAGCACCGCTCGCTCCTGTGCCATCCCTTCCCCAAACAGCCTCCTCATCAGCTCCACCAGGACATGCTTTGGCTAGGACCGAGCCCATCCTCCCCAAACTCTGCCAGGTCCAGGGGAGAGATGAAGCCAGCTCCAGTGCTGGCAAAGGGCCAGGTGGGGAGGGGAGGGGGTGAGGGCAGGGGCAGGGTGACAGGAGTGTGACAGCATAGTGAGAGGTGACAGCCCCCCATGCAGCCCAGGCTGATGCTGGGACCTGGGACAGTTGCTGCAACATGATGCTGTCCTGCAGACAACCCCTGGGGACACAGAAGCCACTGCAGGCAAGGAAAGGGAGGGGATGAGGAACAGAGAGGCCAGGGTGTGAGCGAGGGAAGGGGGAAGCAAAGAGAGTCCCGAGTGTCAAAAGCTGATGGGGTTCAAGTCTTTGTGCAAAGCCAAGTCATAGGAGAGGCACGCAGGGCTAGAAAACCACGGACTGCAGGAGGCGGAAACACATCATCAGGTCCAAGGGGATGGGGGGCTTCAGGAGGTTCCCGTCCAGCCGCAGGTACCGGAGCCGGGGCACGCTGTCCAGGTCGGAGGGGGAGAAGTCCTGGATGGACATCAGTGAGGTGGGGCAGATCTGCGTCCCATTGATTTCTGCAGGGAAAGAAGGAGAAGAAAGGCATGGGTTAGAGGTAATGAGGAAAAGGAAGGCAGGGTGGGATGCTAGACAACCATCCCCCTCTCCTCCATTTATTTGTCCCTATCTTCATAGGGTCACCCCCACGATGGGTTTGCTTTGCTATCAAAAGGAGAATCCCCAGCCCCTGCAAGGGGCAGGGTGCAGACCAAGCAAGAGAGAAATCTTGCTTTTGTTCAGAAATGAAGCAGGTCACTCAGCCAAAGCAAGGTGAGGAATACAGAGAGCCAATTTGGAGACAAAAGGGATCATCACAACACGGTCAGTGCTTGGCAGGTAAGAAGACAGCTCCTGCCTTGCCCCTTCCTGATGCCACAGCCAGAGCCCGGTCCATGATTTTACACCTCCGTGGCAGCACACTGCTCTTCCATGTAAAGCCGCACAGTCACTGCCCAATAAACAAACACTGCAGCATGTGGAAGTGGTGGCGTCACGTCACCTGTTGGGACCAATGTCCTGCCTGGCAGCTGCTTCACAAATGAGTATTCCCTGTGCAGGTCCTGCAGCCCCCAAACCAGAGCCTGAAATATGAGAGCCCAGCTCTCTTTCCCCAATGCACAGAGGGTTTCTGGCAGGAGTGCAGCATTCTTGCTCCCCTGCAGATAGCAAGGACAGCAGGTCACTGGACCTCTAAAAGCAGAAACATCTGGCTTGACCAGGAATGGTTCTCTGCCTTCTTCTCTAATGTGCTGGCTGTGTTTACACACTTCACAGGCCAGCACCATCAAGTCGCTATGCTTTGCCTGGAGCAGTGTGAAACTGCCCAGGTTGGTTTGCCAAGACAACCTCCATCACAGCCCTGTTCTCCTTGTTCCTTCCTCTGTGAGGCTCTGCTTGAGAGTTAATCTGGGTTATTTCTAACCATCTTGACTGTGTATTTGGCATCAGTTTGTAAAACATGTGCACAGACACTCTTTTCTGAGCAGCCCTATTTCTGAACCCTGGTGGGGAAGTAACTGCTTCAATGACTGCTAGCCCCTAAGAACGTCTGCCCATGGCAACGAATAAGAAAAGCCTTGCAGCTCCAAGGGCTATTCAGCCCTGCTCCTCTGCTGCTACCCTCATCTGTGGTTCGTCCTTCACCTCGTGCAAACCCACCTTCATTTGCCAACACTAAAACCTGAGCTCATCTCACCACTGCATCCCCCCTTTGAAAGGTTCATGGGTGAAAAATGCCCTTTGGAACAAAACTCTTGCCATCTCTCAATCTATCTGCTTCCCAGATCAGCTGGCCAACGTGACTCACTTTCAATGGAGTTGTTGTTCAGGTAGAGGTGCTCCAGCTTGGCGCTGATGAAAGGGACGTTGGTGAGCTTGTTGTGAGCTAGGTGCAACACCAGCAGGTTGGTGAGGTTGAAGGAGTTCTTGGGGAGCCCCTTGTCAGAGATCTGGTTGTAGTTGAGCCGGATGAACGCCAGGTTGGGAAACTCCTTGAAATAGTCACTGGGGATGTCTTCGATGTTGTTCCTGTCCAGGAAGAGCTGGTGGATGGCACTGGGCACCCCAGGCGGCATTTTCCTCAGGATGTTGTGGGCAAGGTTGAGTTGCATGAGATTCTTGAGTCCTTTGAAGGTGTTTTTATTGAAAACTCCATCACTGAGCTTGTTGTGGTGCAGATCCAAGAGCACCAGGTTCTCCAGCTTGTTGAAGACCCCAGCAGGGATCTTGGAAATCTGATTCCTGCTCAGGCGCAGCTGCTCCAGGTTGGGCGGCAGGAAGGCAGGCACCTCCTTCAGCTGGTTCTTCTCCATGTAGAGGAAGATGAGGTTTTCCAGCTTCTCCAGGACCCGCCTGTCCACTTTCCGGATGCGATTGTTGTCGAGGTTGACCCATTTCAGCTCTGTGGCGTTCCTGAAGGACTCCTCCGGGAGGTCATCGATGAAGTTGTTCTGGAGGTAGAGGTAGTGGATGCGGGACGGGATGATGGGGACCTTCCGTAGGTTGCGGCTGTCACAGTAGAGGGCAGAGGGGAAGTCTGGGGGACAGTAGCATTCTCGGGGGCAGTCAGGGAAGATGGAGGGTGGGCCGGGCGGCAGGGGTGGGGGCAGCTCGGTGGGCTCCACGGGTTCAACAGGCTCGACGGGCTCAGGAGGCGGGCGGGTGGGTTTCCGTGGAGGCTTCCTCCGCTGCCCACTCACCTCTGAGATCAGCACAAGAACAAGTGGGAGAAGCAAGCAAAAGGCCAACTTCATGGTCCAGATGTTTGCCTAAGTGAGACAACAAGAGGTGGGTTAGGAAGAATCACAGAATCCTAGAATGGCCTGGCTTGAAAAGGGCCACAGTGCTCATAGATGAGCAACCCCCTGCTGTGTGCAGGGTCACCAACAGCAGACCAGGCTGCCCAGAGCCACATCCAGTCTGGCCTTGAATGCCTGCAGGAATGGGGCATCCACAGCCTCCTTGGGCAACCTGTTCCAGTGCCTCACCACCCTCTGTGTGAAGAGACCAGTTTAGGTTCTGCATCATCTCCCATCACCACAGTCTCTGGCACCAGGAGTTACTCCACTACTCTGCCAGTTAACCTGCTATTTTTTCTCCTGCCCCCTGGGAGTTATCTTTACATCCAACCCTTTTCCCAAGCATGAGTTCACTGAGATCTCCTCTGGCTCAGCTTTATGCCATTGGGGGTTGCTTTTTTTCCATTTCATTTGTGTTTTTGGAGGGCTTGTCTCTTTTTTTCTTTTTTCTTTTTTTTTTTTTTTTTTGGTTGGTTGGTTGGTTGATCTTTACTTTTACTTTTTTGGCCTTTCAAAGAACAAAACACAGCTGAGAGAAAAGTCACCTACAGCAGGGCACAGAAATGAGATCAAGGTAACCCTACTCATTCCACATTAAGAGGGAAGAGAGCTACACAGGGGTCCTAAAACTGCAAGGAAACTGTGCAGTAATTCTGGCAAAAGACGAGCGGTCATAAAGACAGGCAGGGAGGGCAGAAATCCCCTGAATAGAGCAGAGGTGAGCAGATGGGGCACGAGGAGACATTTTCTTGCTCTGAACTGCAGCATCCCTTCAGCTTCAATAAGCAGCATCTCCTGTGGTGGGAAGATGTCCCCAGTGTGGGTTGGGAGCCTCACTGCACCCTTCTTCCAGAAGGATGGATTGCCCTTTCAGAGGCCCTGATGGATTAGGGTTAATTTTGCTCTTGAGCCAAAAAATCAATGATTCAGCAACAAACTGGCTGAGCAACAGTAGCAGGAGGCCTGCAGCAGCTAGCAGAGCAGTGAAGATGGATAGTGTTGTGCTTCAGGGACCAGGATTTAATGCAGGACGGCCCATTTCTAAGGCTGTGTGATAAAAAAAGGACATTTGCAAGATTACGATTGGGCAATACTGAAGATATTCTGCCATATGGCTCCCTATGTTACCCAAATAACTGATCCGTCACCTCCAGCCCCACTGCAGGGTGCTAGGCTGGGCTGGTAATTTAGGGGGAGTGCAATAGCAGTGGGGGATCTAGAGGGATCAGACAAGGCCTCTGATTGTCCCTAGCCATTGGGAGCCCCTCCTGGACACCAGCCCAACAGCTCACATCCCCCACTTCTCCTTCTCAACCACATTGTGATTTCTGCGGTTGTTACTAAGCCCACGGAGGCTTTCTGTCCCATCCCTGTTGCCTGAAACAGCAGCAGCAACCTTCCCTGCAAGATTTTTGCTGGGTGCTCTCCAGCTGACAGCTTGGAGGGTGGCAGAATCCAGCTCTTTGCAGATGAGCTCCCCAGAAAGCCTGGTGAAGGAGATGCTTTGGATGCTTCCCAGGCCAGCTGGAGCAGACCAGGTTCTGTACTTTCTGTGCAGGCAGCAGATACCTGGGGGTGTTTGTCAGGCTTCTACCAAAGGCATTTGGCACTCCAGTGAGAATGGAGCCCAGGTGGATGAACAGCAAAGCAGATGGAGAAGCTGGGCAGAACCGGGATGGGAAGGGGAACCAAGAGTGGGGAGACAGGGAGGAGGGTGGGGAGGAAGATGAGACAGAGAGGAGAATGGATCTCTCAGGCTAACTGAGCAGATGCCGTGGGAGACATTACAGCTGGGATAGCAGCATGAAGCAGGAGGCTTTGGTGATGCTGGAGCTCAAATCAGTCTGCCTCAAGGTAGAGCAGCACCCACCACCAAACCCCCTCCTGTTGCCTTTTCCTGACATGGAAATGCCTGTCTAGGTCCCCTCCAGCATAACAACCCCCTTTCCACTCCAACTCTGGTGGGTGCTTCTTCCAGCCCCTGAGGCTGTGCCAGCCCTGCTCCCTTTGAAGCAATCCCATGCATTCCTGGGGCTCAAAGTAATTGACTTTCTCCTTGAAAAAAAACCCTGTTCCCACCCCCCGCCCTCCCCTGGCCTGTGTTACTTTCCTTTTTGTCTCACTCCACTCCCATCTGGCTCTGTTTAACCCTACAAGGCTCCCATGCCTGCTGTTTTCAATCAGAGCTCTGGCATCTCGCTGGGGGAAGGGAGGAACAGGGGAAGAGCAGCACCGCCAGATATTCAGCTCAGCAGTATTGCAGTCAGTTCCCTTTGGGGATGTACGTGCATGCTTCTGTGTTGTTGGAGGACAGATTCGACAGCAGGCCGCGGAGTACAGACAAATTCCCAACACACAGGCCCCTCCCTGGCCCCACAGCATCCCCCTCCTCTCCAGCCACGTCCCCCTTTGCACACCCTCTCCCCCCACATTATCCTAAACTTTTGCGCGGGCTTTTGCATCAGCTCCAAAACTCAGCTCTGGATTTTCACACCCACAAAGCCTGGTGGAGTGGGGGGAGATCTGATGCCTGCATTTGGCTGGTGGTGGAGGGAGGAGGTGTTTGGGATGCAGTACGCTGCTGTTCAGCGCACTCTTTGGTGCAGCCATTCAGCTCCTCCCTGCCGCAGGGGCAACTTCACCATGAGGGGCGAGGACGAGGTTGCCCCATTGCCCCATCAGACTCAAGAACTGAGTCAGCTTTCAGCCCATTCAGAAAACACCTGGCACGTGAGTGCTGTTACACACACAGCCATGCTGTCCCCTCCGCATGAGCCTCCATCACCACAGGGACTCTGCAGAAATAGTGTCTGAGCCAGAAATCCAGACCCAAGAGCGACAGCATCATGTGCTATTTGTCAGTGCAGAAAGAAAGTGTCAGCAGGCAGATGCAAACCCTCCTAACCACTGTACTGCCTGCAACCTGCAGCCTGCGGGGCCAGGACTGCAGCCGGTCTGCCCACTGTTTCCATCGCACGCACAGAAAGCAGCAATCTCTCCCCTGCAATTTGCACGCAGCAGCTCATGGCCTGTGGCACCCACGTCCAGAAAAACATCACCAACCAGTCTTTTTGCAACAAGCCTGAGGCTGCCATGAGATTTACAGTTGCCTCCAGCACACTGGAAGGTTCAAAGCTGGCTCTCCCTGGACACAGCGCCATCAGCAGTCTGTTATTTGTCGACTTTCATACCGCTGAATTCACTCACGTGAATGCAAGAAATAGATTTTGAAATCCCATACCCTGATCCTGCATGAGCACTGGCTGCTGAATCTGTGGCAGTGTCTGCTCTGCAGATGCCTCCACCTTTCCCATCGCTCTCTGATGGGATGCCTCCCCATCAGAGACACCTCCAACACCTCTCCGGGGTGCCTCCCCGAGGAATCCCTGCAGTAGGAATAGAGTTAAATCATGAAGCAATGAATGCCTTCAGGAAACCAAGTGCTCGCTGCAGAGGAAAGCCCCATTCTGTGAATAGTTTTAACAGTTCAGGCGCCTCTTGAGCCATGCTGAGTGGCTTGGGTGCAAGACCAGCATCTCCTACAAGATCCTGGTTGGAGTTATGGCAAAGCCTCCAATAAATGCCAGCCTGGAGCTTTTCCCAAGAAGAGACAGCTGTGCATTCAGTATCCCATTACAAACAACAAAAATTCAGCACAACAGCTGGAAATTCCATCCCCAAACAACACTTTGCTTTCCAAATAGTTTACCTTTGGTGCATCTGAGCCCATTGCTCCGAAGGAATGCTTGCTGCTAGCGCAGCGACCGGTGCAGAAATCACAGCTTCTGGGAGAGGAGGGAGTTTTGTAAAGGCTGCTGGGAGATTTTAGGCAGGCACAAATCACATCAGTCTCTCTCAGGTGCCTCCTGCCCTCGGGGCTGCCTCCAGGAGCAGCTGGGTATACAGGGAGCAGCAGCAGGCTCTGGACAGATGTTTCTGGGACCCCTCCTCCTGTGGAGGGGCCAGGAGGGATAAATAAAGGGGACCTTTGTCTTTAGGTGAGGGTAAAGACTTGATTGCTGCACCATTACATTCCAGTCCAATAGCCCTGCTCCCTTCACAGCTTTCCCACTGCTACCTCCATCTCTCATTTCATCTCCACTCCCCAGGCTGGAAAATACCCCCAGCTTCCCTGTGAACCTGCACTCTACAGCAGAACAAGAAATAGTGACTTTAAAAACAGCCAAAAGGAGCCAGCAAAGAATCCCTATTGGTCTCCCTCCTCCTCCAGTCTCCATAACAGCCCATTAGCTCTCTGCAAGGCTCTGGGTCTGATCAGTTTTAACCAAAACAGGGGGTTCTTTATCCAGCAGTGCCGCAGTGCTGGAAATGATGGAAAACCACAGTGCACAGTGCCAGGCTGTCCTCTGAGGGAGGCAGACATGCTGCCACCCGCACGTTCCTGAGGCGCCTGGGGAGCACAGCAGAGCGGAGCAGTGATACAACAGCCCTGCTTGCCCTTTCCCAGTAATTTCCCAGCCAAAAGACAAGCTGTGGGCTGCTGATCCAGCTGGGGTCGGTGCTGCATTTCTTCTCATGTGAACATGCAGGACATGGGTGTCCCAGGGGACCAGCTGTAGTCCGGCTGGAGAGCAGCTCAAATGTGAGCATGGGCTCACAAGCAATGCCTGTGGGCTCAGCTTAAGGACTGCGTGCTGTGGGGATGGCGATGCGCAGCCCATGAGTGCTCCCCCCGCTGTGTCACAGTCACCAGATTCATTGCGAAAAGCTCATTGCGTTTGCCACGACCTCTTCCCCCTGGGATGGTCTGTGAGAAGGCAACGCAGGCAGAAAGCACCACTGCTGCTTCATCCATCTCAGCAATTCCTCTCTTCTCCTCCTCCTCCCTGCATGCCCTGAGGCTGCTCCTGGCTCAGCCCGCACACCTCCATGCTGCACCCACAGAAGCAAACCTCCATGCACACCCCACTCCCCTCCCAGCAGACGCGTCGTGCCAGCTCTGCTTTTGTAAAACGTTGAGAAACACTCCCTGATGCTTTGTCAGCTCCTTCCGCCCCATCCCTTTCTCCCAGACTCTTCCCAAGGCAGAGCAGACCTCCCACAGCCATACTTCCATCCCTCCTGCTGGGAGCACCCAGTCCATTGCACTGCAGCACAGAGGGGCACCCAGGAACCGGCGCTCCCCCAGGCTATGGGATGCTGCAGCCCAGCACCACATAAGGCAGCCCACAGCTCCTAGGAAAGTTTCCAAGCCCTCACATGCTGCGTGCTTTGCATTCGGCTGCCAAGAGAATGAATTTCTGTTTTTCATCCTTTTATTTATTTCTTTCTTTTCCTAAAAGCATCCAGCTCTCAAAAAGGCAAAGAAGGGCAGGTTTGGTGTAAAACTGAATCTCTTCTGCACACCAAAATTTTTTTTCCAGGATTTAAGTGAGCATCCCTGCCCCGTTGCTTTCTCCCTTCGCCTGCTGAAGCAGGCACAAAGAGCCGGCTGTGAGCCAAGCTGCTCCATCTAATGGGCTGGCAAAGGCAGTGTTATGTGCCCTGGGAGTGGGCTGCGTGTTCCAGGCACAGACATTGCCTGTTGGGTAGAAAAGCTCAACCACTGCACGAAAGGATGCTAAAATTGCTCCTGAGGCACCCAGATGTTGTTTGGCTGCCTCATCCCACCTCGCTGTACAATCCCAGCCTTCCTCCTGTGGGAGCAGCACCCTGCAGCAGCCCCCCACCCCATTCCCTGCAAACCCAGAGCTCAGTGACCCGGTGCCACAACACACGGAGTGACGGAGGTTCCCTGGGAGCAGTCCTGACTCCAGAGGTGTGCGCTCTCCTCTCAAACTCTCCCACTCCTTGAACACTTTCCGCACTGCTTTCCCAAGCAGGAGATTGCTCAGGGCAAGGCGTGGGCTGAGCAGCCCCCTGTCCACCCCCAGCACTTCTACCCAGCTGGAGAACTGAGCCTGCGTGTGGTTGGGAGCAGCCACAGAAAGCACCTGGCAGTAGGCACAACGCTGTCACACACGGGACTTAGTTCTGCTTTCAGCCCCCTCCACCCCCAGCCCTGCACCATGCTGAGCAAAACTCTTGCAAAAACAGAGCAAAGTGAAGGAAAAAGAGACTCCAGCTGCGGAAGAACAGAAGGAAAAGAAAGAAAAAGAAAAAGAAAAAAAAAAAAAAAAAAAAAAAAAAAGAAGAGAGAGAAAAGGAGCAGCGAATGCTGCTGTGCATGTAAGAGACGCTGGAGAGGGCAGGAGCATCGTGGATCAGTGCAGCGTCCAGGCTGGGACATCGGGCAAGGCGAGGTGAGCCTCGGGGGAAGCGCCTGCCCACCGCTTACCTGCGTGCACCTCTCCCTCCTCCTGCCTCTTATTAATCCCCAGGGCAGTTTCCCTCTGGCTGCCTCCCTCCTCCTCCTCCTCCTCCTCTCCACGAGTGAGCGGCGGCCGAGCGCGCGGCGCTGCGCGGGGGTTTTGTTCCTGGGAACCGCGGGCGCGGGGTGGGTGGGAGCGCGGGAGGCGGAGGGCTGGGATGGAGGCGAGATGACAACAATAACGTCTTTATCTGGCAGCCAAGCGCTGCGGGCTCCGCACACATGGCCTGCCTGCCGGAGGGCTGGCGTTTAATAACAATTCCTTCTGCTGCGGAGGCTGCTCGGAGCCCGTGTTTAAAAACAAAGCTAATTAATAATTTCAATAAGCCCTTCCCTTGCCACGGCCCCTGCTCCAGGAGTGTGCGGTTGGGCCGGTGTTTTCCAGCTGTGCTTCTGATTACAGAGGGAGCACAGAGCGCGGGGACTCTGCGTGTGCCACCCATCCCCAGAGCCATCCCACGCGAGGCGGTGACACGGCACGGGGACACACAGCTGCCCTCTGTCCTGCAGAATGGAACCGGTCCCGTGCAGGGGTCTGGACGATGGCATCATAAGACATGGTATGGGTTTCATTCGCTCCCAGTCGGTGAGAGCTTTAATTCAAATCCCGATGATGCTCAGTGAAGAGGAAGGAGCAGAGCTCTGGCAGTGCTGGGTGGCTGAGTGGGACGTGGGTGAAGGGCTGTGAGGTTTTACCCTCAGTCTCTGCAGGTCCTGGGCTGGAAAACTGCTCTGTGCAGAGGGGATGTACTGAGGAACCTCAGTGCTGGGGCTGCAGGGATTGGTGGGCTGGTGGGTGCCCAAGGGGATCGTTTTGCTCCCAGGGGCTCCAGGTGAATATTCACTGTGCTAAGAAATAGCATGGGGCCAAGCAGGGAGTGCCACAGGCACAGCAGGCCATGAGCATCCCCATCAGGTTTGGGGGGCAGGGGCTCCCACGCTCCTCATCCTCTCTCCAGCCATGTGGATCTGCAGGAAGGGCCAGGAAAAGCTGTTTTTGCTTAAAGAGAACCTGGACCAAAACCTGCTGGACACTGGCAGCTGCCTGGCAGGGGCTGATACTGCACTGCCCCACTTGGCTGATAGGGCAATCAGCAGTAAGCTTCAAACAGCCAAAATCAGACCCTCCCCAAAACTCCCCCCAGCTGGCATCCCCCATTTGGCCCTGAGCTCCCTGCAGCCCTTCTGACTGTTCCAGCAGTGGCCTCTTCCTTGCTCCATAATGGGGGTCTCACTGGTGACTGATTCCTGGGAGTGTGATGCCCCAGTGACATGGATGCCCCAAAACCTGCAGGACACCGAAGAGGCACAAAGAGAAGCCATGTTGGTACTTCATGTTGCTTAAACAAAGGGTTGAGATGGAGACGTGTTTGCCAGCTGGAGAAAGATCAAAATCAATATGGAAAGAATATGCTGTTTTCCAGCATGGAGATTAACACCAATTGCTTTGAAAAAATAGTTGAAAGCCTCCAAATTGAAACAAACACGGCTATTTTTAATGTGTTTAGGTTTTGCTTTTTTTCCTGTTACCTAATACATACTCAGCTGAGCACAGAGGTATGCACAGGGGAAACTAAGGCACTGTACAGGGGCATTTCTTGCACAAAAGCTTTCCTGCAAAGCCCAGCACGGAAAAGTCTCCTATTCCAGACTATCCACTGCATTGTAAGAGCTGTGAAGCTGCTCGCACAGCTCCCATTGCTGGGAAGAACAAAAACCTGTAGAAAAATCCTGCAAATCTGAATTTTACTCTCAGCCAAGAGACTTTGTTGAGTTTTCTTTCTGCAGGAATTTCTCACGGAGTCCAAGTTCTGAATCCACCTTCAAAGCTGTCCTGGTTTGGTTTGTGAGCTGCAGCCCTGGCTGCCACATGGCATGGCTGCAGAGAAACCTTCCCCAGCTCTTGCAGGCAAAAGGGATGCTGGAGGGCAGCCGGTGGCATGCCTGCTCTATGGGTTTTGTTGGCTCTGGTCATCCCTGGTACCACCTCCCTTTGGTTGATGCCCCTTCCCATCCTGCTTCTGGCCCTCCCTCGTGCGTTTGCTCTGCAGCAGAAATACCTCTTTGGTCTGGCGGATGTAGAGAAGGAAATGTCTGAGTGTGAAAGCACCAACAGGCAGAGCCAGGGCTGTGAGAATGGCCTGTCCCCACCAGGCAGAGCAGCAGGCGGCTGCTGAGGGCGTCCATGCAGAGCAGGGAGCTCTGCTGTGGGCTCCGAGGCTGCGCCCAGATGGGCATGAGCTGGAGCACACACAGGGGGAACAGCGGGCAGAGAGGGCTAGGGATGGGGGTCTGAGGAAACCTGTGACAAGAGCACTCTGTGAAAGCCATTTAAAGCCAGCAGCCCCAGGGCTGTAAGAAGTAGAATTATGCAGTGCAAGAGACTTCTCAAACGCTGACAAGCAAAGAGTTGAGCCCAGGCTGGGCTCCTCTTCCCCATGCTACAGCCCGCGATGCCCAAAGGTGATGCCCAGGACAGAGGAAGATGCTTATTCTTCATGTTATGACAGCATCGGCTGCCCCATCCCAAGCCAAGACTTTGCTCCGCTCGATGCTGTGCAAACACAGATGATTAATGGCATGGTGCTTCTTTCTGACAGCCAGATCTTCAAACTCCCCTTGGAGAGCTCAAAAATTTCTTTAAAAAAAAAGAAAAAAAAAAAAAATCAGAAAGGGAAAAAATAAAGACAGGAAATCCGAGCTGCCCCTGCGGCCAGCGGGTCGGATCAGCGCGTGCTTTATGCACCACGTCAAAGCAGGCTGCCCTCGCCAAGCGCCCCGGCCCTGAGCAGTGACATCCCCAGGCCACCCCTCCCACGGGTGCTGCTGCGGTGACCCGGAGTCATGGGAATGAGTCCTGAGCAGGGACAAGGGAAGCCCTGAGCTGCAGCTCCCCTGGGGCTCTGCACCTCCGTGTGAAGCGCACGGTGTTGCCACCAGCCTGTAGAATTAAGCTCTGTCACCCCCCACCCCCGCCGACTCACCATAGAGCTCATTCCCAGGCGTCAGAAGCTGTAAAAGCGTCACCAGGAGAAACATATGGCTACAAACAAAGCTCTGGAGGTGGAAGTGAGCAAAGGGGAAAAGTATGCTGCTCTGTCATGCACAGATCCTGCTCTCCCATTGCTGGGATGCTGCGGGATGTGCTGCACACAGGGCTGGGCAGAGCACGGCTGCTCCATGCCTACATTTCCACCTCCAGCAAACATTTGGAAACATGCACTGTGAGTGCAGCTGCAAAGGGGATTCAAAATGCCCATCAAACAAAGCAGCTCCCAGCCCCAAGTGCTCTACAGGCAAAAAGATTCATCCCAGTGCTTGGCTAGGGTGGGAGATTGGGTCACTTCAGTCAATGCAACACAAAGTGAGGGGCAGAGGCAGAGGAAATTGGTCAGATCAGCTCCTCACAGATACGCACAGCCCAAACGCTGCTGCCTTCCTTCCAAGCGTGGCCGGGCCCCTCCATCCATCCCTGGGCATCTCATGCTGCTGGAACCAGGATGCAAACACCCCATGGACCAGGACATGCTTCTTCACCCGCTCAGACAGAGGCAGATGGAGCCAGGCTGGAAAAAACGAGCTGCCCTTGATTCCAAGTGAGAAACACAGCTGAAAAAGCCAGCTGACCTTTGCCCCAACCAGGTGTTTAAAAAGAAAGAGAGGAAAAACAAGAGATAATCCTGTTTTGAGCACAGCTGCTGTTTTGGTCATTAAATTTACAGGCAAATCACCTCTCAGGATCATCCTCAGCAGTTGGGTGCCTGAGCACAGGCGCTGCGGCAGCCAGGGAAGGGTTAGGGAATGGAAAATGCCTGCAAGCTTCTCGTCCCACAGCCCCACCAGAGCTGACGCAGAAAAGGAATGCAAACCCCAATGCCTCTCGCTTGCAGCCGTAAACCCCTTCCTGCTTGGCTGTTGCCAGAGACGTGATGAAGCGGGAACAGGCCAGATTGGATCAGGACAGCACCGGCGCTCGGTCTTGCCCTGCTATGGGACAAAATGCAGGGAGGAGAAAAAGTGGATCTGCATCCCCCATCACCTGGGGAAACTGAGGCAAGAGGGAGCTCCATTCTAAACCAGCTGTCTTTTCCTTTACACAACCTGCAGTATTTCCCAAGCAATGCCAAGGTTTTATTGTTATTCCTCTTTCAGCCTTGGCATGGGGGAGCTGGCATACCTACACCAGCACAAAGTACTTTACAGCCAGCACTGGGCTTTGTCTCACCCCCAGTGCTGAGCTTGCAGTCACCCCGTGGGGATGGAGCAGCGCTTCCCCAGGGGACTGAGACCTAGTAAACTCATTGCTGGAACAGCCTGAGGAAGTAGCCCAAGTAAAAGGCAAAATACAGGAAGGGGCTCAAAGCTCAAAGCAGAAGGGAAGTGGCATCGCAGTTCATGAGGACCCCGTCCCTGCTGCATGTCACACACAGCTGGCAGTGGGGCTGGCCAATAGCTGGTGGTGGACACGGCACAGCTGTCAGCTCCACTCCATCTGCACTGTGACCACTAAGCCCCCCCAGCACACCCCCAGCCCCTTCCTCCCCATTCCACATCTCCTGGGCTATTCTCATGGCTGCTTTAAGTGCAGGGAGGAGATACAGAATTCATCAGACCTCACATTTCTCGGGGATTAAATCATCCAGCTCATTTCTCTGAGGGAGAGAAGTCCAAACCCCCTTTTTTTTTTTTTTTTTCCTGCAGGGCCGAGCAGCCACTCATCAGCTCTTGGCAGCAGGGCACGGCGCTGGGCCAAGTTGCTGCTGCGTGCTCAGCTCACAGCCGCAGTGCTGGGGGCTGGGAGCTGCGGGGCATCAACCAGGGCCCCCTCCCTGCCCCACGGTGCCCCTGCCTGGAGCACCCCCACCCAGCCCTGCCATCGTGTCCTCTCCTCTCCTGGGGTTCGTGGCCCAGTTTGCTATGGTTCAACAGTGGTTTGCACTAGGAGTGCACAGGACACGAGGACCTTTCCTCCCCTGAGCAAAAGCTGCATTTTTCCAAGCTGTCTTGGGTGTGACAGTAGCCTCTATGTGGAAAATGGCCCCCATCATTCCCTGTCTGGATATTCTATGGAAAGGACATTAGGGCTGATAATTTAGATAAACAAAGAGAAAGTGACCCAGGCTCTGGAGCTCATGCTGAACCCTAGGGCTGCTCCTGAGGAAGTTGCTGCTTCCACCCTGCCCCAATGTCACTGCTTCATCCCAGAGATCCCATCCTGCTCGCTGGGCCCTCGCAGAGGGGAAACTGAGGCATGTGTCCAGGGATGTCAAGAAGGCAACAACGTGTTCCCACATCCCTGGGGTCTGCAAGAGACCCTACCAAGCTCCAGTACATGCTGCTCCACCTCTCCAATCCTTGGAAACCCCAGGACATCCTCTCCCTGCTCTTTACAAGCAGTTTGACCACTCACTGAACTATATGTGATGGGTTTCACAGAACAACTCATATGAATGTCAAGCTGGGAGCAAACCATTTGGCAGCTGAGCAGAGGATGAGCAGCAGCAGCAGCACTACCCAGCCCCAGCAGACCAGGAGCCCCGCCAATGTCTATTTCATCTCTTGTTGTTGGCTATTTTTTTGGCTGCAGAGCCCTAAATCCCCAGGGGAGCAATTTATTACCCCTGGGGATAAATGGTGCTGATGTGGGGACCTTCACTGTCCTTCTCTGGCAGAGGGCCATGACTCAAATGGGTCCCCAGACAGGCACAGTGACAAGGGCAGGTGACCGAGTAACCCCACAGTGACTGCCTTACCCATCCCTGAGACAAGGCTAGGGAGCTCATGTGATCTTAGGCAGCATCTCAGACCCAGATGCTTCAGGAGACAGCCAAAAGTACATGGAAATGCTTCAGATAGCTCCTGGAAGGAGCTCGGGTGGCTGGGAGCCACCCCTCCTCCTGCCCTGCAGTCCCCAGTGCCACCACAGACCCCATGGGCTCTGGGGTATTGCTGCTGCCCAGAGACCTCAGATGGGGAGGATTTCCCCCCTCTTCCTGCCCTCCTGCTCCCACCACCCCCACATGCCTGTCACCCCGCACGTGAAGGCAGCAGCAGTGACTGCTCCCCATTAGCAGCTTTCTGGGAGCCAGCACTGGGAACAGCCCAGCAAACACAGACCCAGCAGCTGCCAGCATCCTCCCCAGGAGCCCATCCACAGCTCCTCCACACCACCCACCCCATGTCCATCCCACCATCCCCTCCATCCCCTCCCACCCAGGAACGGGGTGGCCTGCAGTTCCAGCCCCATGGCATGTGGGGTGGACACACTGCCCCACATCCTCTCTGTAGTGCCATGTGCTCCAGCAGAGCTTTGCAGATGGCCCCACTGTGGCATCCCACAGCTGCTGTCAGTTGAGACAAGCTGTGCAGCTGCTTGCTCTCCAGCAGGCACACTTGATTTAGCTCCTGATAAAGGGGGACAGTTCTCCTCTCTCCTTGTTATTCACGCAGGACAGGAGCTCACTGTGCTCCCTGGTGCATTTCGTGCTGCTTGACACGCTGCAGCCCACAGTGGGGCAGGGACAGGGCACTGTGCCACAGCCCATGGTGGCAGGGAAGGATGGGGGCTCCTGGGGGCAGCTTGGAGCTGAAAAAGTGGGCAGTGTTGGTCAGAATAAGAACAAGGCAGTGATTCAATGGAATGAAGCACACTGGAAACCATGAAAGCAAATATTCCGAGCCGAGCACACAATTAGCTGGTGGGACCCATCATCACAAGATGCCGCTCAGGCCAAATGGCTCTATGGGGTTTTAAATAAATACATGAAAAATATGTGAGGGAATGCCCACATGTAGGGAGACTGCTGTCATTCGGGGCGGCAGGAGCAATGGGAGCAAGCATTCCAATGAGCAGAAAAGTGCTGGGGACACAGAAGCAAAGGAATCATCAAGCCGTGGTGGACATCTGCCTGCTTCTCAGGTGATGCATTATGCCCCTGGAGGGATGGAAGGGATTACCCAGCTGTCGGCATGCAGGTGACACAGCTCCCCACTGTCTGAAGCGCTGTCCCAAAGCCTCTGTCACCTCCCTTGCCCTGTCCAGGCGTCACTGCTGGCTGTTTGCAAAGGAAACACCTGAGGTGCATCTGGCCCTTCCAACCCTCCCTTGGGTTTGGCCTTCATCCCTGCTCCTCCTCCTTGCCCAGTATTTTTCCTCTCCAAAGGCAGGAGCCAGCCGGCTGCTTCCCTCACATGACATCAGCTGCACTGTGATCCTGGCTGCTCCCCAGGGTGGTAGGGGACAAAGTACTGCAGCCCACCAGTGCCTGGGGGACTGCTCCCACCCCCAGCATCTGCTCCACCACAGTATCCTCAGAGGCGATAACTGGGGTGATGTGGGCTAAGGCTGATGGACCTGGAGGGTAAAAACAGCTCCTTCCCAGCAAGCAACCCCAGCTGGGGAAGGCATGATTGGGGACATCCTGGTGCTGGTCTTGCTTCTTAATAAATATGCCCCTCCTATGATGACCTGACAGTGCGTTTTGGGCAGAATGACAACACCGTCCCTTCCAACACAGCAGCCCCTTGCCTGCTCAGCTGCCCCCTGGAAAACCCCAGCCTGAGCAACAGACACCTCCAACAGCCTCACTGCAACAGCTGCCAAAGGCACGTGAGACATCCCGAGCTGGGGGCTGGGCTGCACGTCTCAGATGGGGGACATTTCCTACATGCAGTCCTTTGCTGTGCACTGAGCATGCAGCAGTCCCCAGCTCCACACCATGTGTGTGTGATGAGAAGGTGAAAGCAGAGCACAGGAGGCTGGAGGTGATGGATGCAGCCTGAGCTGGGAAGCAATCTCAGTGGCCCCATTCTATTGCTGCTCATTGCACTCGGTGCGGGTTTGCCTATATTGCTTGGCGGAGTGTGAGTAGCAAACAGGCCTCATCAAAGCCCCAGAGATACCCAGAACATTACAGAGATACCCAAATATTACAGCTATAAATTCAGCTCATTTCTCTAAATGCTCAGAGCTGCCAAGGAGGTTGACTCAATCTCTCTCCTGGTGGCTTTGTGCCGAATCCCACCAGACACTGTTCCCCCTGCAGCTCCTCATGAGGGTCTGCAATACACATCCCACCATACCCCAAGCTCCTACTGGTGCAACCTCCACTCTCACACCCCTTCTGTCCCCAAGGTCTTACCATCTATTCCCCCCCTCCCCTCCTGCCAGCTTTCCCCTGTCCCCTTGAACCATGGCTACTTTTGCAGCACTGCTGGGACCACTCCGTGTGGCTGCTCTGCCTTGTGCTTTTCCCCACGCGAGCAAAGGCTCCATGTTCTCCTCTCAGGCTCTTTCAGGGAAGGCAGATCCCACTGGAGGTGGGTTTCTTTTCTCTCCAGGTTGACTTTTCCCATATTCTTCCTTTCACATGCTGGACCATACACAAGCAGCTGGCTGCCCCAGACACAGGACAGACCCAGCCCCACTGCTCCCCTGCAGTGGCTATTTGCAGGTAAGAGTTAACTCTTCCTCACAAGCTCTGCATGTCCCTCAGCTGTGTACATTGAAGGCAAGCATCAGATTTCCAAAAACATTCCAGGACTGATCCTCCAGAGACTATATCCT